GTTCCCTTTAATTGAACATAGGTTTAGCTAATCGAGTCTTGAGAAAGATCGATTAGTGCTTTTAGGAAACACCTTGGAATATAACAGCCCTCGTGAGATTTTATTGATGTTGAATCTTGATGATTGTGATAGGATTATTCCCTAGCAACTTTGTTCAAGGTACTTGTTTTTGTGATTTAATTTCCTTAATCAGTAGCGCTAGTTTGAATTCCTAAATCGCAAACCAAATCAATTATTGCTTTAAACAAGTTGAGAAGAAATTAATAGGTGGTTAAATAATTCATTCCTCGTGGGAACGATTCTGTACACCTTATTATATTACTTGCACGACTCCATACTCTTGCGGATAGTTGACAGTTAGCCTCGGCTATGGAGCTCTTCCTAGTAGCTGCTCCGAACACAGGACAAGCATCGTATGTGCATAGGCTATCCGTGTGCGTTGCCTGTGCCCCATAATGGCGCTAACATCATCCATCGTAGGTCTGTACATAGGACGAGCATCGAGGTTGATTGATTAAGGCCGTGCACAAGATTGTACAAGGGGTCCGGTTTGGCATGTCCTTGAGCCGGAGTCGACGGGCGAACCAGCCCCATCTCTTGGCATCATTTCATGTCATGTGATCGATGCCACGTGGAGCCCGTCGGTTCGAGCTATCAAGTCAGCTGATCCATGGCCATTGGATCAATTGAATCTAGGCCGTACATTTTCCTTTAAATAGGGAGGCTAGTTGAGCGAGACTTCATCATTTGCTCGAAACCTTTAGTCTTGGAGCTATTGAGGACACCTCAACCTTCTACAGCTAGTTCCTTAAACTTCCGTTTCACTAACATTCTTAAGTAAATAACTTTTGTCTTCAACATGTCGACCTCGGATTCTGGTTGTGAAGCTTACAACCTTCCTAACTAGAGTACTCTCAACAGCATTCCTAGTAGTGATGAGAGTGACAGTAATGACTTCGAGAGCTCCTCTCGGACGTCTAGCATCCAGGTGTCAAGGAAGAGGGTCATGTCTCGCGGGGCTGGGCATGACCAACAAAGTGCGGACTCTACCAATGAAAGTGCTGGTTCCATGCAGCCGAGGGCCGACGCCACAAGAAATGTTTTTGTGTTTCCTAAAGTGGTAGATGTGGAAGAGGTTGAGGAACTTATGGTCAATGAAAGAGCCAAGGCTGAGCGCCGAGGCGTGATGTTGGGGCATTATCCCCGCTCTGAACTAGATAGCATTCTCGGCAAGGAGCAAGTTAGGTCTTTGGCTGACAAGTACTACATTAGGGGTACTATAGGGTTAGAGTCCCCTGCATTGGTGATAGGTCGTGGCTTGCTCCTGAAGGGGAGGCGTGCATCCATGAGCATTACCTTCACTTTGGATTGTAGTTTCCCCTGCACCCGCTAATTCTTGAGATTCTAAACCACTATAAGCTCATCCTTAGCCAATTCACACCCAATGTCGTTAGGACGATAGTGGTTATCTTGGTGATGGCCCATCTATGAGATGTGTTTGTGACTCTGAACACATTTCAGAGTTTGTTTGCATTGAGGAAGCATCCCGACAAGGAAGGCTTGTGGTATTTCCAAGGCTGACAGGGAAAGGTGGTGGGTAGTTTCCCCAAGGTTGGTCTTTTCGGTCTGGTTGGGAGGACCCAGATACACTGGCCAAGAGGATCGCACCATGCAGCAGTGACGAGGAGATGGCCGTGATGAATCGGCTTTGGTTGGGCAGGACGATTCATGCTAGCCCCCTAGTTAAGGAGGAGGCCTTGGTGATGGCTAGACTTAGTCCTACCCATGTGGTATGGACGCTCCTATCGCTTCTAACTG